CTCTGTACTTATGTATCTGGGTTGTTTCCAACTTTTTATTACTGTGAATAATTCTACAATGTACACTTGTGTACAATAGCCAAAAGGTAGTAACAATCGAGCTGAATGAATAAACAAAATGTGTTATATACAAATACATGAAATACTATTTGGTCACAAACAAGAATTAAATTTTAACACATGCCATAACATGAATGAACTTGAAAACATTATGCTCAGTGAAAGAAATCTGACACAAAGGAAAAATATTGCATGATTACATATATATGAGGTATAATATAATTCATAGGGGCAGAAAATAAAATAATGGTTTCCAGGAACTAGGGAGATGGAAAATCAATATTTATTGCTGAGTGGGTATAGATTTTCTGTTTGAGATGATGAAAAATATTTTAGAAATAGATGATGATGATGGTTGCATAATATTGTGAAAATAATTAATGTCACTATATTCTATACTTAAAAATGGTTTAAAAAAAAAAAAATGGTGAGTTGCTGTGCCCATGGGCTTGCAACCATGTTTGCGGGGGACATCAAGTTCAATTGGCATAACATATCACACAAAAACATTGTTCTGCATCCTACTTTGGTGAGTAGCTACTGGAGTCTTAAAGGCTTACAAGTGGGCATCAAAGATGCAAAATTGGTCTCTCCTCACCTGAAGCAAAGAAGAACAAAGAAAACCAAAGATGTATGGAAACAATTAGTCCAAGGGACTAGTGGAAAATGCAAAACTCAGCCTACATTATCCTGGAGCCAGAAATAGATGGTGCCATGCTACCACTATCAACCACTCAGAAAGAGATCAGTGTAAGAGATCCTGGATAGAGTGGCAGAAAAATGTGGAACAAAACTCAAAATCAAAAAAAGACCAGGCTTACTGATTTAATGGAGACTGATAAAACCCCTGAGGCTGTGACTTCTAGTGACCTTTCAGGCCTGAAACTGAATTCACTCCCTTGGCTTCCAGCCAAACAATAGACAGGAGCGTAGAGTGAACATATATACCAAGTAAATACACTCCATAGAACAATCAACCAAGGGAGATCAGAAGGGCAGTACTTGCAGAGAAAGATAGTTAAAAAAAATAAAAATAAAAATAAAAAACCCTTACTGCTCAGAGGTCAGAAATGCATGAGAAAGAAGGACACAGGGAAAAGGAAGGTAGCCAGAAGGAGGAAGTGGGAAAAGGGCTGTCACATTGTGAGGACTGCACTCAAAGTTATGAAAAAAAAATGGGTCTGAACTGCTGTATAGAAAATGAATTTGTTCTGTAAACTTTCACTTAAATCACAATGAAAAATTAAAAATAATAATAATAATAATAAGCACATCTGTGTACAAGGATACTCACTACCATATTGCTAACAAAAATGAAACTTGGAAACAAACTAAAAAATGATAGTGACAAATTTGTTACATATATTTTACCACAATATTATAAAAATATTAAAAGTTTTTAAATAAACGTCATTGAACATGTTATGATATACTGAACAAAAGCAAAATAAAACGAAAACCTCTACAGGCATACCTCATTTTATTGCAATTCGTTTTTCTCACTCTTCACAAATATTGTGCTTCTTTTTCTTTGGAAATTGATATTTTGTGGCAACTCTGGGTTGAGCAAGTCTACTGGCAAAATTTTTCAACAGCATATGCTCACTTCTTGTGTCTGTGTCACATTTTGGTAATTCACAATATTTAAAACATTTTCATAATTCTATTGCACATTTAGTTGGTAATTTTTTGATGACCTGTTCAATTTCTTCTTTTGTGATGGGCCTGTTCAAATTTTCCACTTCAATCTGTGTTAGTTTAAGTAAGTGGTGTGTTTCTAGAAAACTGTCCATTTCCTCCAGATTTTCAAATTTGTTGGA